TCCCAGTTCCCAAAGCAGTCAGAGCTCATGGAAGGATACTTGGCATCAGGCTGCCCCTTCTTGCCATAGGCCCACTCGGGCTCGATCTCCAGCTGGGCCTTCTCTCCTTTGCTCATGGTCAGCAGGGCCTCATCCCACTGCAAGGACAGAGAGCAGCTCAGCCAGCCATGGCACAGCACAGCAGCCTCAGGGGACAACAGCTCCCGGCTTCCACTGCCCTTCCCAGCTTCTCCCGGGGCTCCCAGAACACCCAGCCAGCCCTGGGAACACTGCAGGGGGTGTTCCCTGCTCCCACACAGCAGATCCGTGCTCCTGTGCTGGGATCACACACATTCCACCAGCATTCCCAGCTTCAGTATTCCCTTCCCAGGGAGTGCCCAGGGATTGGTGCTGTGTCCCCACAAACCCTGGATAAACACTGGGATAAGCCCGGGCTGCTCCTGCAGCACTGGCCCTGCCCAGGGACACAGCCCCTTCCCAGCTCCAGTCCCATCCCACAGCAGGAATTCCTCCTGCTCAGCCTGGAGAAAAGGAGGCTCAGGGGGGCCCTTGTGGCTCTGCACAACTCCCTGACAGGAGGGGACAGCCGGGGGGATTTGGGATCTGGGAACAGGGAACAGGGACAGGAGGAGAGGGAACGGCCTCAGGCTGGGCCAGGGCAGGCTCAGGGTGGAGAGCAGCAGGAATTTCCCCATGGAAAGGGTGGGCAGGGATTGGAAGTGCCCAGGGAATGCAAACAGGGATGGATGGAGCCCTGGGATCCCATCAGGGTCATCAGGGAGAGACTGAGGAGCCTGAGGCCGGGCAGATCCCAGGGAGCAGAGCCCGTGTTCCATGCACTGCCTGACCTGGGAATGAGCCTGAGGATCAATGTTCCACCCTCCCCTGCAATCTGCCACCCAAAACCTGCACCCCAGTCACAAACCACAGAATGGAACTGCCCAGGGACTCTGAGGGAGCCCTGAATGCTTCACTTACACCTCGGATCACTTTTCCTACACCGACTTTGAAACTCAAGGGCTTGGCTGCTTTTTTCTTCTTTGAACCTGGAAAAAAGTTTTATGTTCATTTGCCTCAACATCACACCAGCAGGCTCCACACTTCTGTAGAAAACTGCCATTACAATCATGCTTTACATAAATACATAATACTATAATATTTATATAATATATAGTATTAGCTACTCTTCTAATATTATTTTTAGCCCAATATCAGATTTTCAGGGGAAATATTAACAGTGTGCACTATAAACATCACTAAATGTTCAAGCTGCACCAAAGCATCTTTCAAACCCCAAAGACTCATTCCTGAATTACTCAAGTTGACTGCACAAGTCATGAACATATTAAGGAACCAAGAAAAGTCAACAGGGAACACACAAGTATGAGGAATTACAGTTCCAGTGACTCTGGAATACTGTTCCTGAGTGTGGGACATCACTGCTGGGAAAGCCTTTTCAGTATTGCACAATTTCCTATCCCTAAACCCTCATTTCTGTCACAAAAACATCAGCAGGGAATATTGCACACCAGAGTATTCAAACCCCTCTCATTCCAGGCCTCCATATTTAAAGATTTACCACAGAAGGGCCCCAAGATGTGTTTATTTTGAGAAATTCAGGACACTGCTGGTGCCAGAATTCCATAGGCACCATCTCCCCCTCGGGATTGACTCCCTGCATTCCACATTCCCCAGGCCTGCAATGCCAGAAGGCAGGATGGTGTCACTTGACACCAGCCAGTCCTAAAATACTGCCCTTGCTACCTCATGGAAAATCAGGATCTGGGAGCTGCAGGGCACCAGCAGCTCAGCACCACTATGATAAAGCTGATTGTCAGCAATGCTCCCAGAAACCTTCCAGGGGCAAACCCCTGCCCACACCTGCTGGAGGAGCCCAGCAAATTCCCTCTAGGAGCATTTGCAACCCACCCCAACAGTTTATCTGCACGTTTATATATCCATAACCTTACTTGATTGAATGTTGGTGTCAAAGACTGTCCCATCCTGCAGCTTTCCTGTGTACCAGCAGTGGACAGTGTCTCCTTTCTTGGGGAAGTTGGTTTTATCTCCCTTCTTTAAAATGGATTTTGTGTACTTTGGTGGCCCCTAAGGTTATAAAAAGAGAGTTATGGCTGGTGGGTTAAATAGTCTCAGATATCCAAGACTGAACAACCACTGTGTTTAAGGCATTGAAGAAGACACTGTTAGTGAATGATGTGTTACTGCAGGGCTGCAACATTTGGGGAAAATGCAGCTTAAGGTGGGGTATAAACACCAGATTTCTCGCTGTAACTAGGTTTTTGAAGATTTAGGATCACACAATCTCCGGAGTTAAAGGGACCCACAAGGACTGTGGAGTCCAATCATGGCCCTGCCCAGACCCCCCAACAATCCCACCCTGGCATCCCTGGTGTCCAAACACTCCTGGATCTCTGGAATTCCCTGGGGAGCCTGGGCAGTGCCAGCACCCTCTGGGGGAGGGAAGAACCTTTCCCTGAAATCCCCCTAACCCTCACCCCGAGACAAGTGACCCGGATAATTTGATTTTCCGGGCGAAAAACGCGAGTTGAGAGCATCACACCGACCTCCTCCACGGCCTCCTCAGCCTTCACCGCCTTCCCCTTGGCCTCCTCCGCCTTGGCCGGCTTCGCCTTCTCCGCTGCCTTCTCGGCACCGTCCGTGCCCTTGAAGCGCTGCGAGGGGAAGGGTGAGGAGCTGCATCCACCCCCGGAGCCCTGCCCGGCCCCAGCGCCATCCCCGCATCCATCCCCAGAACCCTGCACGGCCCCAGCGCCATCCCTGCATCCTGTCTGGCCCAACCCCATCCCCGCATCCACCCCCGGAGCCCTGCCCGGCCCCAGTGCCATCCCCGCATCCATCCCCAGAACCCTGCACGGCCCCAGCGCCATCCCCGGAGCCCTGCCCGGCCCCAGCCCCATCCCTGCATCCATCCCCGGAGCCCTGCCCGGCCCCAGCCCCATCCCCGCATCCATCCCCGGAGCCCTGCCCGGCCCCAGCCCCATCCCCGCATCCATCCCCGGAGCCCTGCCCGGCCCCATTCCCGCACCCTGCTCGGCCCCAGTGCCATCCCCGGCCCCATCCCCGCACCCTGCCCGGGCCCAGCCCCGTCCCCGCCGCCCCAGGGCCTCACCTGCGTGTGGAAGAGCTGCGTGTAAGCCGCGATCAGCTGCTCCTTGTTCGCCGTCTTCGCCACGTTCTTCACCTGCCCCAGCAGCTTGTGCTCCGCCAGGAACTGCAGAACACGCGCGGGACACGTTGAGGGGGGAAAAAAAAATCCAAACCAAACCTCCCACACAACTGCAAACCATCGATTGTGCCACGCCATTACCGCCTGCGCCGCGTGCTCCTGCAGGAATTTGATGATTTCCTTCTTGGCCAGCGCCTCGCTCCGCAGCTCCTCAGGGCTCCAGGGCTGCGCCTGGCCCGCGGCCGCCGCCATCTTCCCACCCGCCTCCCTCCCGCTCCTCCTCCGGAGAGGAGCGCTGGGATCCGCCCGGCTGCCTGAGGGGCGGGCCGGGAGAGCGCCGGGAGAGAAGGGGAGGGCCGGGAGAGCGCCTTGGAATCCTCCCCTTCACCCTCGGCCGAGCTTTCAGGGGATTGCGGGGAGAGGCGCTGAGGGAGGGATGAAATGGCGGCGGCCCGGGGCTGGGAGAGGCCGGCTCTGAACAGGAGCGGCGGCAGCAGCGGGCTCGGCCTCGGGGCGAGAGGAGCCTGGGACACGGCCGGGGAAGAAGGAGAGGGCCGGGGAAGAAGGAAGGGGAATCCCGGGACACGCCCGGGGGAGAAGGAGAAGGAGAGGGCCGGGGAAGAAGGAAGGGGAATCCCGGGACACGGCCGGGGGAGAAGGAGAGGGCCGGGGAAGAAAGAAGGGGAATCCCGGGACACGGCCGGGGGAAGAAGGAAGGGTCGGGGGAGAAGAAGAAGAGCGCCCGGAGGCGGCCGGGTGTTATAAGTCCATGACACGTTGTTGGCTTTTTGCAAATATTGAGATAAATGCTGTATGTATGATGTTAAAATAGCTTTTCTGTACAAATAGAAGTTCTTCTTCTATTAACAAAAGTTAAACATACTTTTTTTTAGATAGTATGCTTAAACTACCCGCTTAGTTGAAATAACGGCCCGTGAATGTGTGATAAGAGCCCTGCAGCTGGCACAATTATCAACACTCACCGGCTGCAGAAGGCCGGGACCACCACCCAAATTAAAAAGTAATAAGAAGAAGATTAAAACCACAAGCCAAGAAACACGCATACTCTAAAAAAACAAACCCAAGGAGTGGCCATGCTAAACAGTTCCCAGAAAAAGTTTAGGTGTACGTGAAGGACTATAAATATACAACAAACTAACGTATTTAAAGGGGCGTTTCCAAAGCAGCCGTGTGCTCTTGGCAACATGCCGAGCATCCGGCTGTTTTAACCCTTTACTTTATGTTTGTCTCCTATTGTCTTTTCATTAAAATTTTCAAATATTACCAAGACAGTAAACCGTGTTTTTCACACGGGGGAGAAGGGGAGGGCCAGGGGGAGGAGGAGAGGACCCAGTAGGCGGCCGGGGAAGGAGGAGAGGGCTGGAGCACGGCCAGGAGAGAAGGAGGCGGCCGGGACACAGCCTGGGGAGAAGGGGAGAGCCGGAGCACGGCCGGGAGAGAAAGAGGCGACCGGGACACGGCCTAGGGAAAGGGGAGAGCCGGGGAAGCAGGAAAGGGCCGGGGCACGGCCGGGGGAGAAGGGGAGGGCCCAGAGAGCAGGGGAGAGCCGGGGTACGGCCAGGGGGAGCAGGGGAGGGCCGGGACGCGGCCTGGGGAGAAGGGGAGGGCCAGGAGAGAAGGGGAGGGCTCGGAAGCGGCCCAAGGAGCACGGGAGGGCTCGGAGGCGGCCCGGGGAGAAGAGGAGGGCCCGGAGGCGGCTCCCCGCCCCTCTCGGCGGCGATTTCAAGCGGCGGCCCTGAGGCAGGGCTAAGATGGCGGCGCGCGGGGCAGGATGAGCGGCGGCCGGCAGCAAACGCTGCTCCAGGTCTGGCAGGCGCCCGGCAGCGGGGCCGAGCGCAGGGACACGGGCAGGGACACGGGCCGGGACAGCGATGATGACCTGCTGCTGGCAGCCGCGGCCGCGGCAGACCCCGGCCCGGTGCAGGGCTTCAGCGAGACGGCGGGATCCATCTGGATCTACCCCACCAACCTGCCCGTGCGCCCGTACCAGGAGCGCATGGCCGGCGCCGCGCTGCTCGCCAACACCCTGGTGTGCCTGCCCACGGGGCTGGGCAAAACTTTCGTGGCCGCCGTGGTCATGTACAACTTCTACCGCTGGTTTCCCTCGGGGAAGGTGCTGTTCCTCGCCCCCACCAAGCCGCTGGTGGCCCAGCAGATGGAGGCGTGCGGCCGGGTCATGGGCATCCCGTGGCGGGACATGGCGGAGATGACAGGTACGGCTTCACCCGCACGCTGCCAGGTGTGAAAGCCACGGTGCAGGGGGGAAATAAAACCTGAGAGGTGTTTGAAGGGCTAAGTGTTGGTCTCGCAGTAGTTAAAAGCCCAGGTCACCTGTGTAAAGGGTGAAGCGCTGGGGTGCAGCCCTGTGGCTCACAGCGTCTCTGCACACACCGAGCGCTCTGTGTGATGCTTAAGCCAAATAACAATGGTTCTTTTAATCCATTTTATAGCTGTTTCCTCTCCCTTCGTCACTTTCCTCGTCACTTTCCTCGTCACTTTCCTCGTCGCTTTCCTCGTCACTTTCCTCTCCCTTTTTTTTTTTTTTTTTTTTTGCAGCCCCGCTGAGCTGCAGTTTATTCCTCACTGAGCCAACATCCTAATGACTGAACCCATAACCTGTTTTTAGGCCCAAACCTTTCCTACAGGGATTTTAAATGACGTTTAGGGCAGTTGTGAGGCATCTTGAGCTTCCCAGCCTTGATTTCCATGGTTCTGGATTTAATTTTTTAACGCAAAAAACTCTTCCTAGTCATTGTATTCAGTGAGGATGAGGAGTTCCTGGGGAGGTGCCCAGAGCAGCTGTGGCTGCCCCTGGATCCCTGGCAGTGCCCAAGGCCGGGTTGGACATTGGGCTTGGAGCAGCCTGGGA